GTGAACATGTAGTTAAACAGCGGCTTTGAGTGGTCGAGTAAGACTAGAAAGGCGTCATAACAAGTACCAGGTCCATTTACCCATTTACCCATTCCTAGCCTAGCAAGCATAATCGGTAAAACACACTTAAAACACAGTGGATAGCCGACACAAAATAAACACTCACCAAACGTCTTTTGTTACTCTCACACCACTCTTTTCAACATCACCAACTCTGGTTTTGGTCCCAAAATACAACCCTGTAATTCACGAGACGGTATAGATGTAAAAATAGCTGCCTAACCGTCAGCTACCCTTTAGGACAAATGCAGCAGTCAAAGTAAAATCCGATTATAAGCTTGCCACTGAAATGCTCAGCATCCGCCATCCACATCTCTACAGCTGCGTACTGGCACTTTCTTTCGTCATCGACACGGCCCGGGACAACACCGCCGGACACCAACCCAACCTTCTTCTGTGTTTGAACCAGAACACCGCCGCGCTAAGCAACCCGGCGATACAGCAGCGAATTCCGACGCACGGCCTCGCCCTGTCCACGCCAGATCCATACCGACCACTTTGCTTTAAGCAATTTATCTGCGCCTCACCATCATTTGCAGACAATTTGTAATTTCAAGGGTATTAAGAGTGCACGAAACAGAATAAACTCAACCAAATACGTCGTTTTTGGTTAGTTCTTCCCAGGTTGTCCAACAACTCCACTCTCTCCCGCAGACCAGTCCAACAATCGAGCCTCTCCTTTAATAAGATTTTTCAGTTTATGCCAGTTATAATCACAACTATCGATTAATCCTCATAATTAAAGGCTCAGATTTCTGAATTATTCCCCCAAAACACCTGTATAAGCTTATAATATTAGTTATTCGAAGTGCGTCACATTTTTACTTACAAAAAATTCTACAGTAGACAATTTTAATCATAATTTTATACTATTATTTGGAATTTAACTGACAAAGGATACAGTTTCCATGTTGTATAATTAAATAAATATACGCTATAATTTATACAAAGAGTACCTTTTATTTTTAATAGTCCCTAATACGTTCATCATCTAAGTATCTATTTTCCTGGCAAGTAATCAGCTTCCATACATATCCGCGCGGCGCTTCACTCTCTGTTTGTGAGCTCACGCACCGACGCGGCCGCCGCTACTAACAGTCTTTCGTAACTTCCTCCATGCTCACCACCTCAGCTCACATTCGGGAGCTTCATCTTTCTTTCTGCCCACAGAAGTCGGATCGAGCGAAGGGGGCAGCGCAGGGCTCTTCACAGGCGGCAGCAGCCAGCGGCTTCCTGTAGGTGCTGGCATCTTGCTTCACGGCGCACCTCGCACCACCCGGCTAGCACTAGTCACGATGTACGCAGCTCATCCCTACACCAAACACAACACGAAACCACTCAGATAACCAGAAAATCTTTTCTGAACAACACTGGACCGGGGACGGCCTTAATTGACGATACCAACGTCATCTGAGCACAGAAATCCTGCTAACACTGTCCAGGAAAAGTAACCAACTGTTTAAGTACACAAACACACACACACACACACACACACACAAGTGAGTTCCTTGTAACAAAGCACCCTGCGATTTAACGTGCGCAATCGCTCTCATCCTTTTTGACTGAATAATTCGGTTTTCATATGTTTATGTACTACACTCGTTTATTCTCACACATTAAATCCATTCACAAGGGCGGATGTGACAGGATCTTTTCACTATCCATTCCCAACATCGTTATGATGAGTCAAAACTTATTGATATATTAAGCATGTGTTGAAACACATCGCAGTTGATATAATCACAAACAATATAGTGGTACAGAGGGATGTAGAGGGGTGTTGTCCTTTAAGCTTAGTTTTGACTGCCTTTTTGTGTTCTGTTTTCTGTTTTTTTAGTAAGTTGTTTGTATTATTTGTTGAAAAATAAATAAATACTTTAATGACAAAAAAAAAAGAGATGCAGTTTGTATTTTTAGTTAGTTTTATTTAAAAAATCCTAACTGCAGCTTTAAGTACATATGAGTGACTGCACTCATATGGAGAGGAGGTCAGATCTTCATTGGCTATTTATCTGATATCCATAGCAACAGGGAATCAAGGCTCACAGTCAGAGTTCTAGATCTGGTTTGTATCAGGTTCTCATACTTAGAAACATCAAGCATTGGGGCTAACAGGTGAACACAATCTCCATAGACCCTTTCCTGCTACAATACTCAGCATTCCATCCTGTTTTGGTTCCCTTCATGGTTACTCTCTGATTCTATTTCTAGAGAAACATACCACACTTTAATAAACCTCCTGCTGAATTCAATTCAATTGAAGTACCCATTGAGCATTGCGTTCTTCTTACCAGAAGTCTTTTATCTAAGTTGGCCTTCCTCAAAGATGAGGTTACTGAATTGGCATCTTTCTCCGCGATCCATGCTTTGAACATCTTCACAGCAAATGATGCAGAAGTCCCTGAAAATAGTGTTCAAAACAAAGAAGACAAGTTGGAAAACCATCTTTCTTTGTTATTTGGCATAACTATTTACTTGTGGTGATAGAAGAGTGATATCTAAGGAACAGAAACATGGCACAGATCCTCTTCAGAAACACATATATCCAGAGACACATATCTTAATCTATATCTTTAAAGCTGCAGCAAATAATTCTTTTTGTCTTGTGCAAATGGACCTGAATGAAAACAACCAATCAGAGCCAACAACGATAGATGATTGTTGAGTCACTCCCGGGCCAAATACAGATGCTTTGGGACCCTGGGAATGAGACTCAGCAATCGACTATCGCCAAGCTTCCAACCCAAAGCGTCTTTATATCTTTCTCAGCTCTGATTGGTTGTTTTCGTTCAGGCCCGGTGGATTCTTGCAAATGCCATTAGGGGCACTAGGAGGAACCAGAGGAACCTGATTTTTTCACAGATAATCTGTCACATGTGCTACTGTCAGGATATAGTGAAAGCTTAAGCAAATACGATGAAACAGTGAAAATGTCAGTTAATATGACAAAAAGTTATTTCTATAAAAGTAAACTACTGCAGCTTTAATGTTATGAATATGTTTTGGATAATTTCCACCCCCAGGATCAATGGAGTATTTCTGATTAAAAAATGAACAGCCCTTTCTGATTTTCTATTTCTTATTAAGTAATTATTTAAAATCACTTCCACTTTTTGCTTAAAGTACATGCAAATTAAACTATAAACCTCTTTCCACCTCCACATCTCACAGTTAGACCTGCTACAAGGCACACATCTATTCTAATGGTAACTTCCCCTGTAAAATTCAGCAGAGTTGTGTCCTCTCACCTTCTTTGACCACACTGTCGGTGAAGAGGCTGGTGATGATGGGAGGTGGTAGAGCGTTGTTGGCCAGCAAGATGCCTGTAAGCATGGCCAGCTTGGTCTGCTCCGACTCACTGAAAGCCTTCAGGAAGAGCAGTAGCTACACAATGATAGACAGCACAATGTGAGGACAGTCACAGTCTGATGTATGACTAGAGCTTAATAAAACCAATATTTTATACATAAAAAACACAACAGTGTTTAGACAATTGCATTAATTTATGCTTTATGTCCCTAGCCTCCCATCCCCATCCAGCGCTCTAGAATCTCCCATTCTAGAGCGCTGCAGAGAGTGGCAGCTCCCGCTCCGCCTCTTATTTTTTCACCTTAAATCTTACTACTTCTTTATTCCTTCTTAAATAGCACTGTGTTTATTGTTGTAAATAGACCGCCAGTGTTGGTAGTTATTTTTTTTACTTTTTTAGCCGTAGTTGAACTTAGTTTTTTAAATATAAACAATGTGTAGGAATGTGGACACAACAACCACCACACAACAAAACGCCGGAGGTTATTCAAATGAGGACTTCCTGTGGTATTGGGATTTACGTGTCGCATGCCCAAGGGAGATCCCGGTGGAGTTAAGGAGAAGAAAGAGAGGAACCAGAGCAGGCACGTTGGTGAGGACCAAGAAGACAGAGAGGCGGTGGAGATTCAAGCTATGTCTTCCCTCGGTTGTCATGGGAAACGTACGCTCGCTGAACAACAAGGTGGACGAGCTCTCGGCCCTTGTCAACGGACAGTGAGAGTATCGGGAGTGCAGCATAT